AGAAACTTCAGCAAATCTTGAGCTCTCAACTCAGAGAAAATGGGGTAATTTTATGCATCAGTTTGGCCGGGCTATGGTACCCAGATGTTCAATTAAACACTAGTCTGTTGCTGTAAAAGTATTTTGTAGATGTGGTTAAGTCAACATCTATAATCAGTTGACTTAAGTATAGGAGATGACCCTGTATAATGTGGATGGGTCTCGTCCAATAAGTTGGAAGGCTTTAAAAGCAAATAAGATGGAGGTTTCTAGGAAGAAGAAGTGTCAGCTCCTGGCCAAGAGTTTCTGGCCTGCTGGTCTGCCCTACAGATTTCAGACTTGCCTAGCCAGTGCCCACAGATATGTAAGCCTGTGCCTTGAAATACATCTTTTAAGTCACACACACAGGTGATGCCTGGGTGGCTCAGCGGTTGAGTGTCTGCCTTTGGCCCAGGGCATGATCCTGGGGTCCCTGGGATTGAGTCCCACACTGGGCTTCCTGCATGAAAACTGCTTCTCCCTCTCCCTCTGCCTGTGTCTCTGCCTCTGTGTGTGTGTGTGTCATGAATAAATAAAATCTTTAAAAGATTTTACTTATTTATTCATGAGAGACACACACACACAGAGGCAGGCAGAGGGAGAAGCAGGCTGCATGCATGGAGCCTGGTGTGGGACTCGATCCCAGGACTCCAGGATCATGCCCTGGGCCAAAGGCAGGCGCTAAACTTCTGAGCCATCAGGGATCCCCTCTTTTTAAAAAAATAAATAATTCACACACACACACACACACACACACACACACACTCACAAACACATATACCCTGGTTCTGTTTTTTTTGGGAGAACCCTGGCTGATGGAGGAACTAAGCAGGTGAGTTTGAAATCAGTCAGCCTCAGCTGAAATCTTGGACCTACTATTTATTTATTTACTGCCTGTGTGATCTTGCAGAACTTGCTCAATCTCTTGGAGCATTAGGTGTGTCCTCTATAAATGGAGATAAGAATAGATCTTAACTCCTAGAGTTGCTATGAGGATGAAATTGAGAGGGGCCAGGAAATGAATATTGTAATAACAGCTGACACCGATATGGCCCTACTATGTGCCAAGCCGGCTCTGAATGCTCCATGTGTATGAACTCGCTTAATCCTTGCTATAGTCCTATGTATGGGGTTGGACTGCATTTTGCAGGTGGGAAAATCGAGGCTCTGAGAGGTCATGTGACTTGCCTGAGGTCACCCAGTGAGCAAAATGCTGAAGTGTAACGTGTTTAGCACACTCAGTGTGTATGGTAAGCACTCAGCTACTGTACAGTGCGATTCAGAGGATGATGATAAAGCCTTTGTTTTTTTTTAAAAAGATGCATCACTACTCTTTTCAACTCTGCTTCTCATCGTCAAAAAGACCTCTACAGCTGTATAAGCCAACAATCTCACCCCTGCTGGAATACCTATGTGAAATAAAAACCTATGTTCACAGAAAAGCTCATGAATGGGGGATCCCTGGGTGGCTCAGCGGTTTAGCGCCTGCCTTTGGCCCAGGGCGCGATCCTGGAGACCAGGGATCAAATCCCACATCGGGCTCCCAGTGCATGGAGCCTGCTCCTCCCTCTGCCTGTGTCTCTGCCTCTCTCTCTCTCTCTGTGACTATCATAAATAAATAAATTAAAAAAAAAAGCTCATGAATGAATGTTTATCAAAGGTTGATTTGTAATTATCAACCGCCTTTAAAACCTAAATGTCCTGGGGCACTTGGGTGGCTCAGTGATTGAGCACCTGCCTTTGGCTCAGGTCCTGATCCTGGGATCCTGGGGTCCTGGGATCAAGTCCCACATCAGCCTCCCCATGGGGAGCCTGCTTCTGCCTATGCCTATGTCTCTGCCTCTCTCTGTGTGTGTCTTGTGAATAAATAAATGAAATCTTAAAAAATTGTAAAAACCTAAATGTCCTTCAATGGGAGAATGGATAAATAAACTGTGGTCCAGCCACATGGTGGAACACTATTCAGCCATAAGAAAGGATGGAGCTACTGGTACAGAAGACAGTGCTGATGAACTTCAAATGCATTATGTTAGTGAAAGCAGCCAGACTCAAAGGCTCTCTGAGTCGTAGTGTTGTGATTCCATTTTATAAGGGATTCTGGAAAAGGTAAAAGTATTAGGGAAGAAAGCAGATTGCTGGTTGCTGGGGGCTGGAATGTGTTATAAAGAGATACAAGAGAATTTGGGGGGATGATGGAAATGCTATATATCTGGACGCTGATGTTAGTTACAAAACTATATATATTCAGACCTATACATTAAAAAAAGGTAAATTTTACTGTATGTAAGTTATAATAAGCTCAATAAAAAGAAAATTCTATGGACTTAAAAACAAATAACAAAGGCAAGATATGGGACTTGGGAAGCCTCTCTCTGGGGATCCTGACACAGTGGAAAGTTGCTAACCAGCCCTGGCTTGTCTGCTCTAGGCTTCACCTTCTCTCACACAGTTGGAACCAGCTCCAGCACATACCCCAAAACCAGCCAAGCCAGGTTCCCAAAGAAATCAAGATCCTACCTTACCTACCCAGGGGAAATACAAAAGGAGCTTGTGAGACAGATAGACACACCAGAACTTCAACATTCAAATGGCCATGGGTTCCCCCAAATATGAGATCCAAGGAGCCACCACTCAAACTTTAGTGCTGCCACAGCACAAGACCTTTCTGGAATTTCCCCTTCAGACATTGTCTTAAGGCGCTTGTTTGCTTGTCAGCAACCACTAAGTGTATCTAGTTGTGGCTGTTATAAATTAGCCACTGTGCTGGGGGTGCTGGGGACAGAAGCAGGGTCTAGCTGTCCCTAACTGACAGGCACAGTCAGAGCCTCAGTACGGTATCATGAATCGTTTCAACGTGGCCAGTCTTAATTTTGAAGGTGGGTATTATTTCTGCTGACAGCCTGGTTATTGGAAGCCAGATGAAGCCTACAAGGGGTCCTGGCATCTTCAATATCCGTCAAAAACAAAGAGGAATTGTCCTTTTTTGGGCTGGATCCTGCCTTTCTATGAGCTTCTTGCGGGTGAGGAGAGGGTGGAGATAATCCCTTGTTGGCACGCAATAGAGTAGGTTCACAAAATGATTTGGTGCCTATTGAGTGAGTGTGGGGCTCAGGGAAACAGCCTTGAAAGGTAAATTCCGGGATGTTCTGAGACCGTAGGAGTGGATGTGGACTCTGCCCAAAATGACATCCATTTGGACTGCACACACATTACCTAGCTGGAATGCAGTAATACAGAAGACATGCCGACCCAGCCCACATTAGAGAAGCTGGAAGTTGACAGGGCAAAGTAGCAAAACCTGGCTAGATTTCAGGGGTTCAGCTGTGCCCCTCAGCACTTCACACTTAGATGTCTCAAGTAACTCAACTTGGTAGGATTTTAACTTTTGGTTTCTAAATGATTACTCCTCCTGTCCCCATCAATGAGGGCAGGTAGTGAAGCCTGTCCAGATCACAAAGGATCTCAAGATACTATAAGCCCTATACCAGCTAACAGAAAAAGATCTGTCTTTTTGAAAGCACAATTATAAAACACTTTTATGTTTTCATCTCCTTTGCCCAGATAGGCCTGCTGAAAAAGATAGTTTCTGAAGACCACGGCCTTGGCTTCCTTTACTGGAAATCACAGGTCCCCCAAAACTATAGCTTCAGAAGTTTCCAGAACTGAACCTGTATGACTAAATGCTAAGCACTGACTCACCTTGCCCCACCCTGCTCTGCTGTGAATCAGGGATTTACCTTTGAGGACTTCTGACCAAGTTGCTGATGTCAGGCCTCTAAGTTCCAGAGGATTCCACAGTTGATGAAGGCTTGGGCCGGGGGCTGGAACCAGGAGAAAGAGGGAAGGTAAGGGAGTGTGCCAGGTGCTACTCACTCTGTACCCCATCCTGAAATCTTCAGTGTGTGCAGGGGTGTGTGTAGTGGCATCCAACTTCCCCAGCCTGCTCATGACAATCAAAGGAGCAAAAGCATGGCATGATCACAGACCAGCAGTGTCCAGTAAAGCCAGGGTCAGGCACAACTGCCAACCACAAATGCAAGCCAGGTCTGTGATATTAAATGTTCTAATAGGCATGTTAAAAAAGTAAAAGGAAACAGGGGAACTTAATTGTAATAATCCATGTTAATCTAATATATCCAAAATATTATCATTTCAACTTGCAATTAACATAAAAGGTTATTAATGATTTTTTTTTTTTTTTTTTTTACATTCTCCCTTTCATACTGTTTTACATTTACGGCACATCTTAATCTGCACTGGCCACAATTCAAAGGCTCAGTAGCCACATGTGGCCAGTGGCCAGTGGTGACCAAACTGGACAACACAGGTAGACAAGCGTGGGCCTCCTCCCCACCCCAGGCCTACGAGCGGGGCTTGCACCCCCCTGAATGGGGTCAGGGTTCAGGTTGCAAGTTGGGGGACGCCCCCCAGGGGGCTTTCCGTCATTCATTTCCCCTTTCTTTCCCTCCCATTCATGACAGATGGGGGCCCCCTCGCGGGATAGGGGCCCCCTCTCCATCCAGGCCCCCCAGCACACGCCCCCAGCACCTAGCCCTTTCAGGTTGCTCCCCATTACCCAGGGGGCTGCCCACCTGGGAATTCACACAGCCACGCCTCCCGCTGGGCGGATGCTGCTCTGGTGGATGCTGCCCTTCCTGTCACTCAACTTTTTGCTCCCGCCCCCAGCTTTAAGGTAACCGTCGCTTCCCTTGGTTTCCACAGCGACGCCACCAAGGGGCGGGGAAGGGGCGCGCGGCGCTGAGGCCTCATTTTGATTGGTGGGTGGCCAAGCACCTTTCCGCTCGTCCAGTCCAGCCTGCGCTCCGCCCCCTCGGTGTGTGCCGCAAGCTGATTGGCCAGCCTCGTGGCGAGTCCTCGCTCAAGACCATCCTCGTGGGGCGGGGTCGAAGGTGAGCGCCCCACGCGCTGATTGGCTGTAGGGACGCGCGCGGCAGGGAGGGGAGGGGCCGACGCGGAACCGAGGTTAGTCTCGCGCGGCCGTCGCGAGCGCGTGAGGGACCCTGTTTCTTGTCGCGCGCGGGTAGACAGCGGCAGCAGCAGGAGCAGTAGGGGGCCGTGTGAGGGAGCCATGAAGCACTATGAGGTAAGGAACGAGGAAACCTGCACCGAGCGGCCGCTGCAGACTCATTCGTTTTTCTTCTTCGCGGGACCACGGGACCCCCCCTTTCTGCTCCTGCGCCCCAAAGGGCGAATGGGACGGCGCACGCGCAGTGGCCGCTCGTTGTGCCCCGGGGCCACTCGTAAGTCGCAGTGCGCATGTGCAGAGGGGTATTTATAATTCTGCTACCCAGGCTGTTTTGGGGATGCCTTTTCTTGGGGGTCTCTGCAGGATCTGGGAAGCTGGCAGGTTCCTTGCAGTTCCCCCAGCGGGCGGGGAGGAACAAAGGTGCGGGACGCTCGCTCCCGATTCGGGGGTGTCTTGCACAAGCTTGCACCGTGCCACCTCTCAGGTTTAGGAAGGGGCTTTGCAGTCAGCCTGCTCGGGCACGACCTTTGGACCCCTTCCCTCGACCCGGACGTCCCGGGGAAGCTTAGGCGGTGAGGGAGGTGCAGTTTCAGGGCTGGCTCCCGCCGAGCAGCAAAGCTGATCTTGCTCTTTGGTAATACAAGAGATCATTTCTTGTCAACCCCTGCGTGTCACCACGGAGAAATCTCATTGCCGCAGCCGTTCTGGAAGCCCAGGTCTTCTGACTCCTAACTTGGGCTGCTTTTTCCCTTAAAACGAAGTCTTCCGATGTGCCTAGCGACCTAAGTTGACAATATAATATTCATAATTTAATTATTTGGTCATTACTGACTTTTATATAACATTAAGTAATAAACTAGTTTATTGTTAAAACGCATACTAGTAATTTAGCGTCAGATTACTCTTGTGCTATGAGATTCTGTTACCTTATTTTGTTATCCTCATAGGCCTCTGAGGTCGGAGACTATTATTATTTCCATTTTTATAGGTGAAGAAATAGTCTCAGATGTCAAATGACTTGCCCAAAGGCCCCCGGATGGTAAATGCAGGACAGAGAGAGGAACTCAGGACAACAGAGTCTTAGTTGCCAGCTCCTAGGCCACACACTGGTCCCCAAATGAAAACCAGCAGGTAGAAGTATCATTTTTTTTTCTCCTCAATTTAAAAAATTGTGGCAAAATACACAAAACATGAAATTTACCATCTAACCATTGGAAGTTCCTGTTCAGTGGCATTAAGTACATTCACATTGTGCAACCATCACCACCATCCACCTCCAGAACTCTTTCCTTTTGATTTTGCAAAACTGAAACTCTGTCCCAATTAAACAAGAACTACCTATTCCCCATTCCTCCCGGTCCCTGGCAACCATAATACTGCTTTCTTTTCCTCTTTCTTTTTCTTTTTCTTTTTCTCCTTTTTCTTTTTCTCCTTTTTCTTTTTCTTCTTCTCTTTTCTTTTTTCTTTTCTTACTTTTCTTTTCCCTCCCTCTTCCTTCCTCCCTTCCTTCCTCCTTTCCTTCCCTTCCCTTCCCTTCCCTTCCCTTTCCTTTCCTTTCCTTCCCTTTCCTTTCCTTTCCTTTCCTTTCCTTTCCTTTCCTTTCCTTTCCTTTCCTTTCCTTTCCTTTCCTTTCCTTTCTTCTTCTTCTTCTTCTTCTTCTTCTTCTTCTTTCTTCTTCTCTTTCTTCTTCTTCTTCTTCTTCTTCTTCTTCTTCTTCTTCTTCTTCTTCTTCTTTCTTCTTCTTTCTTCTTCTTCTTCTTCTTCTTCTTCTTCTTCTTCTTCTTCTTCTTCTTCTTCTTCTTTCTTCTTCTTCTTTCTTCTTCTCTTTTTTTTTTTTGACTACGCGGTATGGAGTATGAACTTATGACCCTGATATCAAGACCTGAGCTGAGATCAGGAGTCAGAGGCTTAACTGAATGAGCCACCCAGGTGCCCCCCCCCATACTACCTTCTATCTCTATGAAAGTTGACCACATGAGGTACCTCACATATAAGTGAAAGACAGTCCTTGTTTTTATTTACCAGTTGAATACTGCTAGCTGCATCTGTCCCTTTTGTTCTTATTTTTGGTAATTAACCCAGAGTCTTTGAAAACTTTACCCCAGAAGAAGTCCACACTCATTTTTGACCTAGTACCAAGAATGAGGAGGTAGGATTCTATAATCTCTGATGCCTCATTAAACTTTATGATTATAGATAAAGTTCTAATCTAGTTTTCCCTCTCAAACCTTCTTACAATCTTGGAGAAAAGGCCACAGTTCAAACGATGCAGATGGAAGATCCATGTGGCATTTTTTTTTCTTAAGATTTTATTTATTTATTTAATTTATTTATTTAGTCATGAGACACAGAGAGAGAGAGCAAGAGTGGCAGGGACACAGGCAGAGGGAGAAGCAGACTCCATGCAGGGAGCCCGACATGGGATTCAATCCTGGGATTCCAGGATCAAGCCCCAGGCGGAAGGCAGGCACTAAACCGCTGAGCCACTCAGGGATCCCTCCATGTGTCATTTTGCAAAATAGAGTTAATTTTAGTTTTCTTAGTTAGCAGCTAGATAAAGTAGGCCTCTGAGGACACTTGGGGTGAGCACTTTTCTTCCAGAAGCTGGGCACGGCCTGACACCATTGTTTGGACTGGAGAACATGTTCTACCTCACTGCAATCTTTTTCCTCCCAGAAGGAAAGGTGAGCTTTAAACCCACTGTTCAAAGTAACCTGGGAGGGGCACCTGAGTGGTCATTCAGTTGGTCATCTGAGTTTTGGTTTTGGCTCAGTTGTGATCTCAGTGTTGTGGGATCAGCCCCCTGCATCTGGCTGTCTGCTCAGTGTGAAGTCTGTTTGTCCCTGGCCCTCTGTTCCTCCCCCTGCTCTCTCTCTCTCATAAATAAGTGGAGAAAATCTTAAAAAAAAAAAAGAAAAAAAGAAAAAAATGTATTCAACAAACAAAAACCCCAAAGTGACCGTGGAGGGGAAAAAAAGGTATTTTGCTGTGTTATCTATTATTCTTTGTGAACATTTGCCAAGTACCCTCTGAGGTGATAGCTACAGTTTCTGTGTGGGAGGAGCCTTTGTCTCCTGGCCCATTTTCACAGCAGATTAAGTTTTAATCCAAGTGTTTGTTGTAGATCAATAAAAATAGCAGGGATGCTTTCAGTCCCATTTAACAAAGTTTGAGTAAAGGTTCCAATGATCTAGATCAAAGAATATATTTCTATTTTGGACTGAGTCCATCCTTTCACCCCAAGTGACCCCCAGTCCACTGAGGGGATAGCCTCCCTCAAAAGACCTTTGTGGCTCTGAGAGAGACTCGAAGTGCAGTTTAAAAAGGATAGACGTGATGCTCAGAAAGGTGTGAGAAGCACCCGAGTGTCACGCTGCTTATTAATGAGGGCTGATGGCTGATATTATGGCAGGTAGGGTTCTGGCTGGAGGGGGGATTTGTTGCTGTTTCAATAACAGTTTACTGTCACTGCCCGAGTTCCCTCTGTGATCCAGGAGGAAAAAGTATCCCTGCAGTGGCCTAATTGAGATGAAGCAGATAGGGTAGATCACTCTTGGGTCCTGGCTGAAGTAGTTTCCTTGGAAGACCAGAGCAGGCCTTGGAATTGTCTTGGGGTTAGATCAGGGTTGATAAGAGAACTGCTTATCCTGCTTATCCAAGGCTACAGGATTTTTTTTTTTTCATTGCTGTTTTTGCCATTACAAATGAAAGGTCAAAGGAATGATCCCAGTATTAACTGGAAAAACAGCTGCTGCATCTTGTAAATGAGCTTGTTAATTCCTGGGAAGATCAGTACCTCCCAGCTGGGTGCCTGCAGCTGAGGAAGCCTCATCCTCTTGGGGTCCCCACTGCCCTCATTTAGGATCCTCCACTCCCACAAAAGAGGGTCATTCAGTTGGTGCTTGTTTTGCAAATAATCCTAGGCCAACATAGTACCTTGCCACAGGCAAGTTTTGCTTCAGCTTCCTCCACAGGCATAAGTATGTGAAAGTTCTGAAAGTAGAGTTCTGGTCTGGAGGCAATTGTGTAGAGCCAGAAAACTAGACAGGAAGGTGAAAATTAAGGAGAAAGTTGACCAGCCTGTCATGGTGTTGTACATGTGTGGGCTGTAGACAGGCCTGGGGCTGAATCCTGGCTCTGCCACTCAGTAAATAATTGTGTGACCAGGACAGCTTGATTAACCTCTTTGAGCCTTTCTGAGGCTGCTCCTTGGGGGCAAATGAAACCTACTGTGAAAGCAAAGGCTAATATTAAAGAATGTTACGAAATTGCTGGAAATATATCATCAAAGGATATGCATAAAAGGGGAGGTGCTACATGTAGCTCTGGTTCATTTCTTTTTACTGTTGTGCACAGTTCCGTTCTGTGAAAGAAAATCTAGTTTGATTACCCAGTCCTTCAGTAAATCTCCAGACATCCTGTTGAGTGGAAAAAAACACATTGGAAAAGGTTCGATAGATTTAAAAAAGTACCGAATGAGACTTATATTGCTCATGGATATGTATATAGTAAAAGGATAAATTGCAGTTAGAGGTCAGAAATGTGTGGGAATTACACAGAGGAACCATTGCTTGGAGATAGAGGGGTTGGGGAAGGCTTTAGCTCTGTCCGTTTTATTAAAAAAAAAAAAAAGGAATCTAATATAAATATCTGTTAAATCTGGGAGGTGGGATCTGGGTGTCTGCTATTTTTTGTATTTTTTCTTCTGAATTCTTGTCCTTTTGGAATAGGTGAGGGGTAGTTAGGGTTTTTCTGGCTATTGAGCTTTTATTTTATTATTTTTATTATTTTTAAAGATTCTTTTTATTCATGGGAGACAGAGAGGCAGAGACACAGGTAGAGGGAGAAGCAGGCTCCATGCAGGAGCCCAATGTGGAACAGATCCTGGAGTCCTGGGATCACATCCGGAGCCGAAGGGAGACACCCAACCGCTGAGCCATCCAGGCATCCCTGAGCCTCTATTTTAATATGTTGATCCCTTTGACTTTTGTACCTTAAATTTGGTGCCTGTTTGCAGAAAGGTGTTGTGTTCTGACACAGGGATTGCTTGGTCTCTTCACTCTAAACCCCCTTCTGTGTGCTGTAGCAAAAGAATAGGCCTTCCCAAAATGCCTTTCTTTGGCTTTGATTTTGCATTTGTAGATAGGCTGGGATGCTGGTTGGTATCTTGTCTTGGGCTGGATAGTCCTGCTGGGTTAATAGCAGGGACAGGTCACTTTTATTGTGTCCATCCGAAAACCTGAGAGGTGGAGTACTCTGTCCCCGCATTTGTGGATAAGGAACCCGAGGCTGAGAAAGGCGAGGGAACTTGACCAAGGTCACGTCGTGGCAGAGACAGGATCCAGACCTAGGTCTGTCTGGTTCCTAATCCAGAGAAGAGGAATCAGGTGGGCACGAGTATTCTACTTTACATATAAAGAAACGGAGGCTAAGAGAAGCAAATTAAGTTGCAGAAGGTCACAGAGTCAGGAAGCAGTGTAGCCGGACTTTAGCCCTGGGTTTGCTTATGTTGTTTTTGGCCGAGCTGATGCTTCCAGAGGCTGCTGGTGGCCAGGTGGGCTGTGCTGTTCCATTGTTCCCAGGGAGGGAGCATGGGAGCATCCCAGGAGGGAGCGTGGGAGGGGCTCCGTGGGTCAGCGTGGACTGCTGGCGGACGGTCTCCCTTGCTCTAGGGTTGGATGGGCTTGCTTGCCCCTCGGAATTCTAGAAGTGAGAGCCCGATTGGGACTGGCAAGCCAGGAATGCCACCGTGAGGCGTAAAGACCTTCCTCGTGTTGGTGTGCCTCAGGCTGGGAGCCTGGGTTTGGGTGGGATGGGAAAAGCCGTGCTTAAGTAGAGGGCGGGGCCGGGGTGGGATGGCGGGGCGGGACTTAGGAGTGGGCGGGGCCTAGGCGAGCAGGCGGGGTGGAGGCGGGGCTGAGGGGGCGTCGGTGAGTAGGAGGATCTTAGTGGCAGGAGTGGGTGAGCGCAGGATGGGACTCCGGAGCTCCCCTGAGCTGCGAGCTGCGCAGAGCCTCTTGAATAGCTCGTTCCTTGAGGAGAGGTAAGTGGAGAGTTGACAGCCCTGAGTGGGGACTGTGCTAGGAAGGGACTCGATGACACAGTTGAGTTTGGTCGGGAATCTCTGCACTCTCACCGACCGGTTTGGCCGGAGACGTTGGGCTGGTTGAGTTCAGCCTACGTCTTAATACCTTCTTGCTGCTGTTGCCAGTGGCAGCTGAGGATGTCTTAATACCCGGGGACAGCCAGAGCATCGTCCTCGTCATCAGTACACTACTGATGTTATACTTATTCTTAGTGCTATTTATCTGTTAACTCACTTAATCCTCATAATACATCTGTGAGGGAGGGACTGTTCTTGTCTCTGTTTGACAGGTGGGGAAACTGGGCCACAAAAAGGGAAGCGATGCGCCCTTGATCCCATGGTGAGTGGCAGAGCCAGGGTTCTGCTAGACCAGAGGGGGGCTTCCCTGTGGGTGGGCCCAGGTCCTTGTGCACTGAGGGAAGAATGAAGTCTGTGGTCGTGAAGGACATGATCTTTGGAGGCCACTGGGTCTGCCCTTGGGCCAGGCACTTTACCTGCTTGAGCTTCAATGTTCCCAGCCGTGAAGCCAGGATAAAGACACCTGTCTCAGAGGACCACGGGGGGTGTAGAGTGTCCAGCACGCTTCGTGGCCCACAGTCAAGATACAGAGCATTAGGTGGTTAAGGACAAATTGTTGGACAGATGACCAGTCAGTCAAGTTATTAGAAATGCTTTCTGTGCGTGGTCTCTTTTGAATGCCTTAAAAGTTGCCTGTGAACAAGGCCATGGAGGCTTGATTCATTGGACATGCTGCTAGAGATGGATTCATGCTAAACAATAGGCCCAGAAGATGGAGGAAGAAGCCCGTGATCAGTCTTGATACACTGCCACACACATTGGAAGTCAGATTTTGGGATCTACTTTTTCTCCACAGGAAGATCCTTGGTGAAGTGGGAGCACAGTCAGAACCTACTTTTTGCCTTATTGTGATAAAAAATCGTCCCAAGAAGTGGGTGCTTCAGGTGAGCCTGGTCTTCTGATGTTACTGTTCCCTAGTCACTCAGAAGCGTTCCCTAGTCACTCAGAAGCGGGGCAGCCTCTGTTCTTGTCCCTCCTGGCCATGTTTCCCACCCAACAGCGGCCAAAGGGTCTTTTCTCATGTAAATGGAAAGATCTTAGCACTTGTGGCTCAAAACCATCCCTCAGAGACTTCTTGTCATCCTCTGTCCCCTGCTTTCCTCATTCATCCCTAAACTTCTGTTTTTCATCTCCTCAAACACCAGCAGCCATGCTCCTGCCCTGAGCACATGCTGGTTCCTCAGCCAGAAACGCTCTTCCTCGTTTTTCCTTGGTCCCTTCTTTTTTCTTTTCTTTTCTTTTCTTTTCTTTTCTTTTCTTTTCTTTTCTTTTCTTTTCTTTTCTTTTCTTTCTTTTCTTTTTTCTTTCTTTCTTTTTTTATTTTTTTATTTAAAAAAAATTTTTTTTAATTTATTTATGATAGGCACACAGTGAGAGAGAGAGAGAGAGGCAGAGACACAGGCAGAGGGAGAAGCAGGCTCCATGCACCGGGAGCCCGACGTGGGATTCGATCCCGGGTCTCCAGGATCGCGCCCTGGGCCAAAGGCAGGCGCCAAACCGCTGCGCCACCCAGGGATCCCTCTTTCTTTCTTTCTTTCTTTCTTTCTTTCTTTCTTTCTTTCTTTCTTTCTTTCTTTCTTTAAGATTTTATTTATGGGGGTGTCTGGGTGGCTCAGTCAGTTGGGAGTCTGCCTTCAGCTCAGGTCATGTTCCCAGGGTTCTGGGATTGGCCCGTGTCAGGCTCCCTACTCAGTGAGGAGCCAGCTTCTCCCTCTCCCCCCGTTCATGCTCTGTCTGGCTATCTCTCTCTCTCTCAAATAAATAAAATCTTTAATTTATTTGAGAGAGAGAGGCAGTGAGAGAGAGCACAAGTGGGGAGGAGAGGGAAATGAGGGACTTGATCCCAAGACCACGGGATCATGACCTGAGCTGAAGGCAGAGGCTTAATCTGAGTACCCTCCCCTCCTTCTGTCGGGTCCCTTCTTATTATTGAGAGCTCAGCTTTAAAGTCATGTGGAGAGGCCTTCCTGGACCATCCTACCTGGAGTAGGACCCCCGCCTCGTCCCCCAGCACCCTGTTCCTCTCCTTCTGGCCCCCCTCTGGCTGTGGTTGCATTTTCATTTGGGTACTTCATGGTCAGACTGAGCTCCATGAGGGGAGGGACTCTTTTTTGTATCTCTTTCCTGCAGCTTCCCCAGCATCTGGCCAGGGCCTCCTTGTTGAAATGAACAATTTGATGAATAAATGCATCTCCTGTGGTCAGGCTCCTGGAGAGCAGAAGGGTGATTGTGGGGCTGCTGCTGGGACCTGGCTGAGAACTATCTCATGTGTTGGGCTGAGCTAGTCCTTAGTGATCCTGATCGAGGGAAGCTGGCTTCTTATGGTTCCTTGGTCAGGAGCCCCAGGTCCAGCCCAGCCGTGGTCAGCCTGTTCCATATCATCCTGCTCCTCCTCACACTTGGTCTCACCACAAGCTTCCAGCATAGCACCTGCCCTTGGCCTTGTAGGATCCTGACAGGTTGTCCTCATCCAATCGTCCTCCTGTTGTGGCGATCCACTGTTTTTGTCTGTCATTGACTCATTAGTTCATTCGTTCAACGTTCTTCTCTGTACCCGTCCTACCTCAGGAATACTGGGGTGAACTAACCACAGCCTTTGCCCTCAAGGTCTTTTCATCTAAACTGAGGCCTGAGGACAGGGGTTTTAGGGAAGGGATGACAGGGGCAGGGGGGCAGTTGGTGCCAAGGCCTGGAGGCCAGACTTTGTGGGTGTCCCATGTTGAGTGATGAGGCCGACTGGATAGAGAGACCCATGGACTTTTTCCTGAGAGTGATGAAGTCCCTTTTCTGTTGATTTGTCCTAACAGTTAAACTTTAAGAGGCGGTTTATTTTTAGGTTCTTGAGGGGCTCTTCTTGTTTTAGGTGTTTGTTACATAAATGCACAGAGTAGTTGTTTCTTATTACTGACTAGTGGGTGGTGGATGGTGTTTGGGTCTCCCCCCGCTTCCAGTCCCGTGGTTAGTTAGAGATGGGCCACGAGCTTTTCCCAGCCCTCTGAGGGATAAAGGGCCTCTCAGTAGGTCATGGTGACTGGCAGGCTGGCACAGCCCTGTCCCTGTCCCTGCTCGAACCAGGCTCTTATGTAAGCATGTCCCCAGGCCATTCAGTGGGCCCTGCAGACTGCAGGGCTTGTGCCATTGTCCAGGTCCTTCTGAACTCTGTTTTTCCTTTATAATGGGGCCAGGGAGCACTGGCTGGGTTCATGCCAGTTTTGTGGTGGGGCCCGTGGGAATGGTGTCTGTCCTCCGGGTGAGGGCAGGTCGGCCAAATTTGGGGGAGGGTAGTTTAGCAACTGTCACTGGAGCGTCATAGATCATCAGGAAGCAGGACAGAGCTCAAAGAACTGGAGCCTCCACTCTTCTTGTGGGGAGAAGCTGTTTCCTATGACCCCTCAGGAGTCTGACTCAGGTGGGGGGTGGTGGGCTTGGGGGAACATAGCTGTTTGTGGGGTCTGAGGAGAGTATCAGAATTCTTGGGAGGGATGTGTGCAGTCTGAAACAGTATGTTGTTGAATACTATTCACTCCAGGGACTAAAGTCTAACAAAATCTTCTGGCTGGGGATGGAGAGCCACTGTCAACCACTGTCACTGTCCCTGTTCAGGACAGGGCTGTGTTGAGCCGAGCAACCCCTGTCCTAAATAACAGTATTTCAGGAGAGGTGGCTTTGCCCTTCCCATCTTGGAATGCCATCATTCAGGGCTCAGCTTGCATGCCACCTCCTCTGAGAGATTCACATGACCCTGCATGCCACACTCATGACCCTGGTGCCTCTTCTGTTTTAGTTCTCTGCACATAAGACTTAGCACCTTCTGTAAGCCTTGGCCCCTGGCAGGGGCTTCAGTAGATGCTGTGAAACAAGTGACCATGTATGCCAGAGAGAGAAGGCACCGGGAAGGATGTGCATACAGAATTCCTGGGTTCATTTTCCCTTGCTTCATTTTACTGTCGACCAGAGAGCCCCAGGCCTGTGGGGCTCAGGGTGCTGCTCACAGGTAATACTGCAGGTGGAACATGGCCAAGGGCATCTTCCGGGACCCCTTCCTTAACTGTGAGAGCCAGGCTTTTCCTCTTACTTCACCATTCCCTTTAAAGACACAGGTAGGGGACAGCCCTGGTGGCCCAGTGGTTTAGCGCCACCTTCAGCCTAAGGTGTGATCCTAGAGACCTGAGTCCCAAGTCAGGCTCCCCGCAAGGAGCCTGCTTCTCCCTCTGCCTGTGTCTCTGCCCCTCTCTCTCTGTCTCTCATGAATAAATAAATAAAATCTTAAAAAAAAAAAAGACACAGGTAGGCCTATTAAAAAAAAAAAAAGACACAGGCCTAATAAACATTCCAGAAATCCTGCTCTCCTCAGCTGTCCTCCTCCTTCCATCCCAGCATGCACAGTCTTCCCCCTTGGTGTTTTCATGTTCCTTAAGTTGATTGAGATATACGTATATATCCTATATTTGTGTAGGTAGTCCCCCCTCCCTCAAATTGGTGACTTGGTTTGAATCAGTGGTGTCTCAAGATCCAGGAATTAGGGATCCCTGGGTGGCTCGGCAGTTTGGTGCCTGCCTTCAACCCCAGGGCGTGATCCTGGGGTCCCGGGATCGAGTTCTGTGTTGGGCTCCCTGTGTGGAGCCTGCATCTCCCTCTGCCTGTGTCTCTGCCTTTCTCTCTCTCTCTCTCTCTCTCTCTCTCTCTCTGTGTGTGTGTGTGTCTCTCATGAATAAATAAAATCTTTAAAAAAAATCCAGGAATTAGAGTGTCTTTTCCCCAACTTGGCACCTCTGTGCTCTAGTCCAGGCCCCATTGAGGTCTCTGGTCTGTGTTGTTTCTGAGACTCACCGCTGTGTCTGCTTCCACATTTGCCCCTGGCAGCGAGAGGGATCTTTCTCAAAACCAGAGCAGGTTGTGGTGACTTCCTAAAGTACTTGTCTGGGTCTCCCTCCACTCCACCCTTCTCCTCAACTGCTCACTCTCAAGTCCATTCTGCTCCAGCCTCTGCATGTTCCAGAGCCCTGCCAAACTGTGTGCTGCCTCAGGGCCTTTGCACTTCCCACAGGGAGCCTCATGCTGGTGCTCCCTCTTTGGCTTCATTCTGGCTGTGGCTCAAATTACACTTCTTTAGAGGGGCTTTCCCTGACCACCTCCTGTGGTGCTCTGGGCCCCCTGTCCTGCTTTCTTTTCATAGCACCTGGTATATCCTGACCACGTGATAGATGATAGCTAGGTGATAGATGCTTTGCCCCTGTTCCCTTTGAGTGTGAGCAGGCCTGGTGGGGGAGCATGGCCTCTGAGCTGTGCCCACCATTCTATCCCAGCACCTGGAACATTGCCCAGCATACTGCTGTCACACATAGGTCTTTCCATTCATCAAGCTCAGCACCTAGCACGGGCCCAGCACATTGAGGGGCTCAGTAAGCGTTTCCTGAGAGAAAGATCGGGAACTCCTCAGTCAGCAGAAAAGGCTGGTGGAGCTTCCAGAGGCATCCCCCCATCTCTGCCTTATGTGCTTTCTCAGTGAGCTGGAGCTCTCCTTAAGGCTGTTGAAGGGCATTTCAGATTTAATATCCAAACCTGAGCTCCAGATTTTCCCTCAAACTTGCATTTCCCCACTCCAGTTATGGCACTTCCAGCCTTCCAGTCACCCAGCTCCTAGGCTGTTTGCTTATTCTCCCACACCTTGCATCCCAAAGTCAGCAAATCTGTAGCTAAGCCTTCAGAGTACTTCTGCAGCCACTTCTCATCAGCACCCCCACCATCACCAGGCCCAGGCCCAGGGTCGGCAAGCTTTATCTGTGAACAGCCAGAGAGTCAATATTTTGGCCTTTGTGGGCCATACAGCCCCTGTGACAACTTCTCAACTCAACCGTTGGAGAAAAGCAGCCATAGATGACAC